CTAGCTTCACTTAGCATAATCTGCTCTAATGCCATCCATTTCCCTGCAAATGCCATGATTTTGTCATTTTTTAGTGCTGAGTAATACTCCATTGTGTATAAATGCCACATTTTTTTTTATCCATTCATCTATTGAAGGGCATCTAGGTTGGTTCCACAGTCTAGCTATTTCCCATTTAAAATTCTATGTAACCAAATTCTCAGTTAAGCATGAGGGTAGGAAAATGATATTTTGCCCTATGTGAAAGTGTCAGAAAGTTTAGCTCTGAGTATCTTCTAAAGAACCTATTAAGAGATGTGCTCCATAAAACAAGGAGAAGAGGAAGACATGAGGTCTAGAAAACAGGGCACTAACATGGGAGAGGGAAGGGAAGGACCAGGATGACCATTACACAGAAGTCCAGAGCAGTCAGCTCAGGTTGGAACAGAACACTGGACAGCTCTAGGAAGAATATTTCCAAGAAACCCAAAAAGGGAGAGAGAGAGAGAGAGAGAGAGAGAGAGAGAGAGAGAGAGAGAGAGAGAGAGAGAGAGATAGATATTACACACATTCCCTGAAAAATCTTGACTAAGGTTCATGAGCACATTGAGAGCTGTGCATGTCTTGCAGAGAGCTGGACCGTATAATCTTAACTGTACATGGAATACCAAGCCAGGGAGGAGGAGGGAGAGACAGTTATCACCTCTGGGGTAAACAGAAGTTTTACAACAAAGTAGAGTGGTATAAGCTCAGCCATGGATAACATTCACAAGGTCATGATAATGTAAGTGCTGATGCATAATTGATTTAAAGTGGTAATATCTCCCTACTGGCAGGATAAAGGGTAAAAGAGAATGCCTTGAAGGGTGGGGTTAATGCCAACCTCCTTCTCCATACTAGGAAGTCAAACCTGAAACAGCATGTAAGCATGCTATTTAGACATGGGGAAGTAAATACCAGGAAAAAATATAGAAGGAATTGAAAATGCTTAGCTTGGAAAGTGGACTTTGACTTGAGGAAGGGCTAGATAGGAGAATGTGGAGTTTGGTTCAGAAAAATAGATTCAGAGTCCATAGCCGTCATTACCATAAGAGGTGTGGACTTGGCCCCCCACGTGGAGCCCTCTGAATCCTGGCTTTCTTGCGCCTGTCAGTAAGGAGACTGTGCCCTTTGTTTCTCCAGAGTTTACTCATCTGTAAAATAAGGAGAATCATAAACCTAGCTAAGGAGATTTGAAAAGTAAATGTATTCATTTACTTGTGGAGTGCTTGACACATAGTAACATCTCCATAAACATGAGCTTTTGTGGCTATTAGTTCCGGAAAACAGGCAAAAACCATCACTGGCCCTTGGGAAAAAGGACGCCAAAGTTGTTACACAGTTTGGAGCCTGAAAAGTCTTTCTTCTGATGACTGAAATCCTCTCTCCTGTTCTCCATTTTCGCTGCTTCTTTGGGGGTTCAATATCTGGCCCTGTGCAGGTGAGACCCAAGCTCAGCCTTGGTCCTGAAGAGGAAAGCGCAGAGCAAGCCAGGATGCGCGGTGTCCGTCATTCTCGGTGTAAACTCCGAGGAGCCGCCGTCGTGGTCGGCAAGGAAGTGGGAGGAGCCCAGGAGGCACCAAGCTGCAGGAATTCCAGTCTCCTCGATGGCGGCCCCGGGGTGCGCCCCGTGGTGGCTGCCGCTGCTCCAGCTGCTGCTGGCTGCAGGCGCGGGGGGCGCGCAGTGGAGCGGGAAGGGCACCAGCCAACGCCTGCAGAGCATCTTCCTGGGCCGCTGCGCCGAGTACTGCTCGCTGGTGAGCCCTGAGCTGCGGTGAGCACGGCAGGGGCAGTGGGAAAGAGGGTGAAGGGCGTCGAGTTGGCAAACAGCGTCTCCCAGGGGTCTGGCTGGGGCATTAGCGGGCCTTGCGGAGATACAAGTGAGGGAGAAGGGTAAGGGTTATAAAGGGCCGGGGCCAGTGTGGAGGGTGGGGGTCTGGAGGTGAGGGAGCAAGGGTGGGGGCTACTGTGAGGGGTGCACTATTGTGGGGGTGTCCGCCCAGGGTGACGGCTGGGTAAAGGCCAGTTTGGAGTGTTAGGGACCCATGCGGACGGTGGGAACATGAGGTTAAGAGAACAATTCTATAAAATGGGCTCCCTGTGCTGACCCCTACATGCTCTTTTTTTTTCAAGAAGAAATTTACTTGCAGTCCTGCCTGGCCTCAGAGCACAAGATATGTCACATTTCTGAGCAAACTACCTTTTTCCTGCAGGAGAAATGGAGGCCCGAGGTAATGTTGATAGGAGGAACCCAAGTCCCTCTGAAGGAGGAGACTTTTGACCAGTTCTTGAAACTCTGGGAGCTAAGGATAGTTCCTCCTAACCTAAGATCTGTAAGAATGTGCGGTTAAGAACTGGTCAGCATGGGCCAAGGTGGCCTAGAGTTGCCATGACAGTGAGGACTTTCCCCCTTGTCTTATGAGCCTGGGGCAAGGCTATATTCCTGAGTTCAGAGAGCCACCACAGTGGCTGATTTAAAATCCATTGTTTGAGCCGGGACAGTTTGCTTTATTTTTTGTAGCTCTGGTTCTGTTGTTTTAATATGTGACCAAATGGCCTGTAAAATCTTGGGAAAAAGGCAAATCCTTTGCAGCACATCATGGTGTGTGTGTGTGTGTGTGTGTGTGTGTGTGTGTGTGTGTGTTTTTTGACTTGTATTTTTGCACAGGGACAAGAACTGCACAGCCATCTGGGAAGCCTTTAAAGTGGTGCTGGACAAGGACCCTTGTTCTGTGCTCCCCTCGGACTATGACCTTTTCATTAACCTCTCCAGGCACTCCATTCCCAGAGACAAGGTAACCACCTCTGTCTCGGATAAATCCTCACTCTTTCTCTGTGGAGACAGACAATGGTCAGGTACGGGATCAGCTGGCCCCAGCATCCTGTGGTATTATGGAAAAATCAAGCAGCAAACTCTCAGCCCATGCACTGAGCTGACTGGTGGCAAGGCAGCTTCATCCTAGTCAGGAGCAGAAGGAACTTTCCGAAGTCAACAAGTCAGTGCTGACCTCAGGAAGTTGCCACACCCTTTACACTGGGCCTCCTCGTCTGCCCAGCTCTGAATAACCTCCATCCTAACTGGCCCAGGGGCCTGAACCTTGAGTAATTCAGAAGACCCTCAATGTCAGCATCCTTCCAGGAGACCCATCTCTCCTAATATGTCTCAATATTGTATTTATTCAGTACCAGCTTCTTTAAGAAAACTACCTGTCTATATTTTGTCTGCAGGCTAAGGTCTAATAAAATGAAAATAAACGAGAAAGTCCACATAAAATGCCTGCTTAGCACAGTACCTCAAATATGAAGAAAATTGTATACCATTTTTATTTCTCTGACATAAACATATATATATGAAACACACACACACACACATATATATATAAATGTTTGTTTGGTACTGGGGACTGAACCTGGGGTGCTTAACCACTGAGCCGTATCCCCAGCCCTTTTTTTTTTCTTTTTAAATTCTGAAAGAATATTGTTAAGCTTCTTAGGACCTCCTCAGGTTGCTGAGGCTGGCTTTGAACTTGTGATCTTCCTCCCTCAGCCTCCCAAGTCACTGGGATTATAGGTGGGCACCACGCCTCTTGACATAATCATTCTTAACTTGATTTTTTCATTGTGTATGATTTGAAAAGGCAGGTAAAGGGAACTATGAAGTTCAAAGAGCTAATAGACTGAAAACATGATTTTAAATTTTTGTTGTATTTTGAATGTTGCTGCCTCCTTATCAGTAAAAAGGGGGAGCATGATTTTTGTTTTCCTGTTTCAGAGTTGGTGGGCTCACTGATAAACCTGGAAATGATTTCTTGGGCTCCTTCTGTGTGCCAGACTTTATGCTAATGGTTAAGGGTGCAACAGTGATAATTGACCTTCACCTGGAGTCCTTTCAGTCTGGATGTAGTGTGATTGGACTACTGAGTGTCAGATGAGCCAACTAGTGGGGGATATTGTCACTTATATTGTGTTGCATGAAAACACTATCAATAGTAGGAACGGTAGGGTATACTATAAGACTACTGTGTTTTGAGGCACTTCTTTAGACTATGAAGTGAGTTCTGTGATAGCACATCATCCTGATCACAGCTGGGGAAGATGAGAAAGGACTCATGATCCCCATCTTCTAGATGCAGAAACTGAGACAGGGCGTTTACACATGATGACACATCTAGTCAAGACCTTGGTCAAGATCACACATTTAGTGCATGACAGAAGCAGCATCCCATCCAGGTCTCTTGATCTTTTTTAATGCGTTTTACTACATGTACGTACATTTTGTACATGGGAGAATATTTCATTATCTTTTGCAGGATAACCTTGGAATAAAGGGAGTGGGAAGGATAGCACTCTTCAAATGAATAAAAAGAGACTCAAGGAAAACATAGTCATCTGCAGCAAGTTAGATTTGAATGAGAAATGTGTTTCCTGCTTGTCTCAATGACATTGTGCCTGAGTCATCTGTTTTGATTATTTTTGGTGTTTGTTTTTCTTCAGTCCCTGTTCTGGGAAAATAACCACCTCCTTGTTACTAGCTACTCAGAGAACACCCGTCGCTTTACGTCCCTGAGTGATGTTCTATATGGCCGGGTTGCAGATTTCTTGAGTTGGTGTCGACAGAAACACGGGTCTGGTAAGACTGCTGTGCACATGACAAGAGAAGCAGGAGCTCCTGCTTACTGTGCATTTGCCACCCACATCGAATGCTTTCGTATGCCTTCATCCCATTTATCTCACCAATCCTCTGAGGCAGGTGGTGACAATAATAATTAATAGTAATAATAATAGAAAACACTCTTTTTTTTCTAGGTATGAGTCTAAGCACTTTACACATATCAATTAATTTAATCTCTGCAGTAGTCCCATGAGATCCCTGTTTTGACATGAGAGAACTGAAGCACAGCATGATTGAGAAATATGCTTCAGGGCGGCAGGCTAACAAGCTGCTGTCACTCAGTCTGACTGACAGCTCGTGCGCCCAACCCAGCTCCATGCTGCCTTCTTATCTTCATTGCTAGAACACAAAACTGAAGCTTGGGCTGGTAAATGACTTGTGCACCAAGTGCAGAATGTGGGCTAAATGTGGGGCTAGCAAATATTTTAAACAAATTCTTCCCTGATATGATCTTTGAAATGAAATGTGTTTTTTGCTTTTCTCTTAGGACTGGATTACCAGTCCTGTCCTACATCAGAAGATTGTGAGAACAACCCTGTGGATTCCTTTTGGAAAAGGGCATCCATTCAGGTAAATCTGGGATGGATGACTCAGGACTTGAGCAAGTATGGGACCTGTGAACACAGAACAGAAGGGCTCAGAGACGGGGACCGCAGGTCATTACTAACTTTTATAAGCCTCAATTGCTACTTGACAGCATCCTGATTCATTCTGCTCCATAAAGTTGAAAGGGTTTTAGGAGATAAATATTTAACGCAGTGTCTGATCAGAGAAAGCATTAAGTAAATGTTCACTGTAAGTGAGGATATTACATAGCCATTATTATTTCTATTATATCACGGTTGCTATGAGTGTTTCAAATCAATTTCTCTTTTATTGTCATGTCAGATGGGGAGGATAACCCCTCTTTTATGGAAGATCTTGGTACCAGGACTAGATGGAGTGGTTAGAAATGTTCACCAACTAATATTAATGGGAGAGGAGATGATAAGAGTCTGCAGATAAATTGGAGATGAAGAAATAGGCCCCCAGCTAAGCTAGCTGTGTTGGTCAGAGAATATCGTCACCAGGGTTAATGATAGCTTTCAGTAGCTATAAAATGCCAATGATTATAGTTCATATTCTTTGTCACCAGGCTTAGAATAAAGGTTAGAAATAAAGAGGGTTAAGTCCTTAGCTCAGTGCCTGGCAAAGAGCTGCCAACTATCAAATGGAAGTTATATTGATCAGGAGGCAGGCAGAAATCAGGCTCCTTCCACCCACCCACCCCCGCGTCCCTTTCAGGGGTATCATATCTCTTTGGGTCCTATCTTCTATTCTGGATCTCCAGATGTCCACTGGGTCCATTGCTATTCAGGGTGAAGGGCTTTTGGCCAAGTCCTCCACCACAGCGGCAGTTAGGAACTAAGCAAAGACTCCCTCCAGCAAAGGACACTGTGCATCCTGTGCTCTCCAGCCTGTTCCAGTGAGAAAACACTGTTTCTTCCCCCTTCCCAGGGGTTCTATCTTGAGTGCTAACTCCAGTCAGCTGGCAGGGCCTGCCAGAGCCCCAAAGTTGAGGATTGGGAGGCTATAAGTGTGTCTATACCTGAAAGGGGGGTCACCACAGCGATTCAGGGAAGATGTCAGCATTACACGTAAAGGAATCGTATTCCACCTGAGTGATCTGCCAGACTTCAGAGTGTGTGCTGCAGACCACCTTCTCCCACTCCCCCAGTCCTGTCATGGGAAACCAGAAACAGTGCTCACCATTCTTGAGCCCTTAGAATATGCTGGGTAGTTGAAACAGGAGAAGATGTTGTCTAAAAAAGTGATGAGGAGAGGACTTGAACCTGAGCCAATAAATACTCAATAAATATTAAGTCATTGATATTATCACTCTTATTTTTGCAAAGCTAAGGATTCAAACCTATAGCCTTGTGCATGCTAGGTAAACTCTCTATTATTGAGCTACATCCCCAGCCCAAACATTAAGTTATTATTTTAAAATCTTTCATCTTTACAACAATCTCATGAGGTAGATATTTTTACAGATGGGTAAAATGAGGTGCATAGAGTTGGAGAAACTTTGCCAGAGTGCCAGAGGTGATGCACAGGATTAGAAACCAGGCAGTCCAGCAGCAAAGACCAAAATTTCAACCACCATATTATATGGCCTCACTGTATCTGTATGTATTTTAAAATTAACTCTTTATTGTCAATATAATAGCTGCTTATGACAGAGAATGACAAATTACAGAAAATGTAAATGAGAAGTGTTCCTGCTCCTATTACCTAGAGGCAACCTCCACAACACAGTGGTCATCAGACCTTGACATTTAAGGACTTAATTTTGCCTGTTAGCACCACTTGAAAGCTTCCCAAGACATGTGTGACATGGCGTGTCCTGTTGTCATGGGATAGCTAGTATGGGGGTCATTTCCCTTAGAGCATAAACCCAGGCTTGTTTATCTCAGTGACACATAATTCATCCTCACTTGTGTTTATTCTAGCACAAACATTTTGGGGAAATTATATGCTCCCAGGGTTTTCTGAACTGGAGATCGGGAGTTTTCTGTGGACCTGTTTCTCCCTTCGGAGTTACTAGACTTCTGATTATTTATTTTAAATGTGGCGAAGCTCATGCCCTGTTTACTTAATCTTGCATTTTTCTTTGGATATAAACCCTTTCTCTGCTATTGCAAATGCATTGTAGACGTTTGCTAAGGGCTGGTTAGTATTTTAGATATGAGTATCATGGCTTACATACTATTCTTTTGTGGTTGGGTGTTTTAAATTGGCTCCTCATATTTTATGATTACAAACCATGCTGCACTGCACATCTTTGTGCCTAGTGCTTCTGGTGGTCCTTTGTGTTGTTTGCCACATATTTCTGGCTTCTTTTCCGCACCTGTGGTTTGCACTCCCCTGCTTCTTGGGATTATTTACCCGTGATTTATATTGGCCAATGAGATGTGAATGACTGTGACCTGTATAATGTTGGGAGAAGCCTTTAGAATGGGTGGTGGTACTCACCTGTGATCCCAATGACAGGGGGTGTTTTGGGGGCTGAGACAGGAGGATCACAAGTTTGAGGCCATCCAGGGCAATTAAGAACCTGGCTCAAATACATAAAATAAAATAAAAAGAGCTGGGATAGGGCTGAGATGTACCTCAGTGGCAAAGCGTCTGCCTTGCATGCGCAAAGCCCTGGGTTCAACCCCCAGTTCCAAAAAGAC